CACGGCCATGTGTGAGTGCCAGGCCTTGCACCCAGATCCTGAGGATGAAGACTCAGATGATTATGATGGCGAGGAGTATGATGTGGAAGCACACGGTTAGTGACGTGGGTCTTACAGTGTTTGATTTAGCATCTCATTTCAAGCATTTATTTGTACCATGGGATAGGGCCTTACGTAGTTCTTCATGTTTCCCTCAAATATTCAGCATAATGCTTATGAGCAAAAATGAGCTGGGCTTGGTGACACACGCCTGCCTCTAATGCCAACATTTGGGAGGCTAACTGAGGCAGAAGGATTACTGTGAGTTCAAGGCCAGCCTGAACCACATAGTGAGACCTTGTCTCAAAAAAATAAATTAAATTTAAAAAAATAATAAATTACAGTGACCCTCAACAAATTCGGAAAATTTAAGGGCTTTCCAAGCTTTTGAGTGTAAGAAATACAAAATGTTTGGGGCCAGCCAGCTAACTCAGCAGATTAAAGTACATGTTCAGGTGGACATAGGAACCAGAGTTCAATCCCTGGCATGCCATGCTGGCCCCGTCCCCAGGGCACACTGAGACTGTGATTGAGACTGTGAGACTGAGCATGGTGTTGCGGTGGGGCACCTGTAATTCCAGCACTTGGGAGGCTGAAAACAGGAGGATCATGGTGAATCTAATCTGCGTAGTGAGACTCTACACAGATACATGAAAAAAAAAATGTGGGGAGGGAGAAAATTATATACAGAGACAATTGGATAGAACACATATGGTAGGAAAAATAGAGCATAATCAGGATAGTCTTTTACATGAGCTAGCTGCCCCCAGAGATCAAGCTACCTCTTGAAAGGCTGGGTTGTTTTATCTTTATTTAACATATTTCTTCAAACAGCGTACTACTGAAGTCATCCCTTTTTTCTCACACTCATACTTCACTTCTCAAAGAGCATTTTCTTTGAGAAGTGAAATGCATTCACAGACCTGGTAGAGTTGTGACTTAAGGCATTTGCTGGTATCTGTGCTTTTCTACACACCAGTCTGACAGCCCAAACCCCTTTCTTCCTTGTGTATCCAATTAATTCCCAGCCTGAGACAAACTGATTTCTGTGATTCTCCTCAGTCACATAATGTCCTTCCCTGAAAGTAAGAACAGATCTTACACTAATTTTTGCTCCAGAAGATACAACAGGGCTTACTTTCAGGAGATATCTCATTTTTCCATGTAGTACAACAATCTCATTTATATCGTATATGACAATCTACATTTAGTCATGTACAAAAGTCAAAATATAGCTTTGTCTTCTTCTGGAACATTGTTATAACTTTCCAAACCCCAAATTCCAGACTAAATTTCTTGCAGCTTCATTTCCTGTAGAAATAGTGGCCCCAATCTCTCAGGCCCAGCAAGGAGGCAGTCCTTAAATGAGCAGTTCTAGTCAATGTATCCTGCTTGTGGTACATTGGCATAGCTATGAGTGATTTTCTTTTTAAAGGTGACAGAATTTATTTGAAAAAGTAACAGTGAAGAGAGAAACTGGCTCTGCAGAGTGAGCATGGGCCAAGTAAAAGAGGAAAAAGCAAGGTAAAAGTACACCCTGAAGGCCTCAGGGTGGGCCGTCGAGAGGAAAGCCACACTGGCCTGTCAGTTACCCATGACTTCTTCACAAATCACAGCCTCTTGCAGGCTAGGCTTCACAAAGTTTCCATTAAATCCAGTGTTAATTGATGCCTTAACATCAATTGAGACAGGAGGACCAACAAAACTGATGGCAAGTAGGAATGATGGTTTACACAAGAGCAACAGAAATGAAAACCTTTCTGAGTGTATTGAGTATATCTATTACAAAACATGGCATGTTAAATTATGAAGATTCATACCGGACACAACCACGTCCATTCATTATCAAGTGTACGTGTTATGCACAAGTTGTGTCCATACTATAATTGGTTATTCAGTAAAGTCTTGAGTTCGTCTGTTACAGAGGGGTTTACCTCTCCTCCAAAGGCTCCCACTTCAGTATTTACAAATACGTAAATTATATTTATGGTAAGTATTAATGTCAGTAATAATATTTACACCTAACCATATATTAACATTTTATTACTCAGTACACCCACTGTGTGTTGAAGCATACGTACTACCAGTAACTGCATCCATCTTGCTGCCCGTCTAAACTGGGGGTTCTTTGGAGGTAGGGTTTATATTATAAGCATCTTCCAATTAGATCTTATTTGGGGGGAAATAGGGTACCTAAATATGCCCTTATCTTTTTGAGATTTTGACTGATTTTTTAATCCTTTATTTGGTGGAACTAGGGATTGAACTCAGGCCCTTGTGCTTGCCAGGCAAGCACTTATTCTGCTGAGCCATCTTCCTGGCCCCCTTTAATCCTTTATGTATTTCCAGACTTTTATTTTTTAAAAAGTTTTATATTAATCAGAAAAAAATAGTTTCCAAACAATTTAGAATCAAAGCAATTTTGCTTTCATCTGTAAAAGTCTACCTTCACATTCTATTCTATCTTTCTGTTTGTTTAGAACAAGGACAGGGGGATATCCCCACATTTTATACCTATGAAGAAGGACTATCCCATTTAACAGCAGAAGGGCAAGCCACACTAGAGAGATTGGAAGGCATGCTCTCCCAGTCTGTGAGCAGCCAGTATAACATGGCTGGGGTACGCACAGAAGATTCCGTGAGAGACTATGAAGGTGAGTCTCCTTCTCTTCAGCATCAGCAGGTGGTCCTTGGGAAATAATGGAAGTTGTAAAGAAACATTTTCTTTTGGAAACTGTAGGAAAAATATGAGAATTAATTTAAAAGAAAGAATTTCAAAATAGGAATTCTTACGTTTTTTGTTTTGTTTTTTAGTAAACTCCCTCCCCATGTCTGTATCAACTGCAAAAATAGTCTATGTTCATTGTGTTCGTGGCCTTTTTGGAGAGGGCTGCTGTGCTGAGGATCAAACCTAGGTACCCACTAGGCTGAGTAAGCACTGCACCACTGAGCCACATTCCTGGTGCCTTGTACTTAAAAAGTGCTCACAAAGAAGAAATGACAAAGCAAACATAAAGTAATGATTTGGACTGAGATATACCTCTTAATTTTCTTTCGTACATTTGTGTTAATTTGAAAATAAAGTACCGTAGACTGAGAGATTTGTTTTTTTGAGAGGATTAAATAATAAATTCTTATATCATAGTTGTAAGTAGGATTGGATCTCTTGAGGCCATGAGGAAAGGATCTGAATCAAGCCTCTTGCCGTGGCGTATAGATGGTTGTCTTCTCCCTATGTCCTCACATCATTTCCCCTTTGTCCACATCTCCGTCTGGATGTCCCTGTTCCACTAGTCCCGGCTCTCCAGAGAGGCAGCTAATAGTGTGTATCTGTTACAGACATGCACAGCAGGGGCACATCCCTGTACTTCATACCTACTGCTATTGTATCTGTTATTAACATTCAATATCTGCTAGTAAATGGAATAATCTCTCCTAAGATTTAGGGATATTTCGTGTGCATGCATATACACATGCTCTCATGTGTCTATATGTGTATGTACACGTACATCTAAAAGTATACATAGGTAAGTAAGTATTAAGAGAGAGGTTTAAAAGCGGATCCTAATGAAGACTGGTAAATCTAAAAAATCTTCAGGGTAGGCTGGCAAACTGAAAACCCAGGGAAGAGTTGGCTGATACATATATCAGATTTTGAGCCTGAAGGTAGTCTGCTGACAGAATTTCTTATGTAGGATAAATCAATCAATTTTCTCCTGTCTACTGCTTCACTTAAAAATACACTTATTTAATATCTTCTAAAAAGTACCTCCACAGCTGGGGCGATGGCTCAGTTGAATAAGCGCTTCCCTGGCAAGCGCAAGGGCCTGAGTTCAATCCCTGGTTCTGCCCAATAAATAAATAAATAAATAAATAAATAAATAAATAAATAAATAAATAGAAACATTTAGAACAGTGTTTTGCAGACTAGAAAAAACGCAGCCTAGCTAATTTGACACATAAAATTGGCTTTTAACACCCTTTGTGGGTGTGAGTGTAGGTGTGGGTTTGTATTATTGGGATCAAACCCCCAGCCCTTTTTTTACTTTCAAAGTTTTTAATTGAGAAAATTCATTATTTATTAATTTGTAGCACATGCTTTAGACTCATACATGCTTTTGGCTAAAGTGATAAGGACTGCCTATGTATAAAACTTCTTCAACTAAACTGTTGGTTCATCTTCTGAACTGAACACTATCTTGTTTTTTTTATTTTATGGTGCTAGAGATTCAAGCCAGTGCCTCTTCCACATGCCAGAGAAGAGCTTCACCACTGAACTTTACCACTGATCTCCAGCTCTTACTTTTTTAATCATTTATTTATGTATTTGATATAGGGCCTTGCTACTCAACTTAGATTCTTAGTGATCCTTCTGTCTCAGCCTCCTCACTCAGATTACAGGAGTGTACCACAATGCCCAGTTTCAGTGGTTGGCACAGCATCTGGGGTTCTGGGGCAGGCATGGCATGCGATACTGCAGATAGAACTCACAGGCAGGTGCTTAGACTGTCACTCTGTCCAGATCCCCAGCCTCCAGCTCTTTATTTTGAAGCAAGGTCTCACTGAATTCCCCAGGCTGACTTGGAAGTCTCAGCTCTCCTGCCTCAGCCTCCGCAGTAGCTGGCGTTATAGTTCTATTCCAACACCCTGCTGCCACATCATTCTTACTCCCCTTAAACACTCGCTGCCTGTCTTGGTTAATTTTCTCTTGTTACTGGGGCAAAATACCCAACACCCAAAATTAAGGAAGGCAAGGTTTATTTAGCTCAGTTCAGTCTGTATTCAGCTGGCTCCAAGGCACAGTAGTACGTGGCAGAGGACAGCAGTTCATGGCAGCAGAAAACAGCAAGAGCAAAAGGGAGGAGTAGCAGCAATAATAGCAGCAGAGAGCAAGTCTGTCTCCCTTATGTTGCATCCAGGCTATCTGTCCCAGTGGGTACAGTACTCACACTCATGATCCCAGCAGCTCTCCTACCCATAATCCCAGCACTGGATCATGAATTAATCACAATGTTTAGAAGTCTGCCCCATGACTGCATGAGGCTTTGGGAGGACACCTGGACTCAAACCATAACACTCCCTATTGTATTTTAATGGCTTTATATTACTTATTTATACAAGAGGCAATTTATTTTATTTAGATACTAAGGCTTGAACCTAGGACCTTCACATTAAGCCGCTTCTCCAGCCCTTTTTTATTTTCCTTTTTTTTTTTAAGCCAGCTTGGGGCTGGCGCAATGTGTGGTGCCGGGGAACCATCGTTCCCTGCACCCACCTTAGCTTGCCTATGCAGGTGCTTTAGACCACTGAGCTATCTCAGTGGCCCCTAATTTTTTATTTTGAGACTCAGTCGTCTTGGTAAGTCATTAAATTGCCCGGGGTGGGCTTGAACTTGCAGTCCTCCTGTTTCAGCTTCCTAGGGAAGCTGGGATCATAGGTGTGCACTAATATCCAATTTAAGAGGCTATTTCCTAAGCCACTCTCCTTGGTGCAGCAAATACAGTAGTGGTGTAGAAAGATGAGATTATTGTTTACATATCAGTGACATTCTAGTAAGCAGTAAGGTAACATTATATGGAAACATGGCCTTGAGATATGAGATGTTTGGGAAGCTATGGTTATCTAAGCCAGAATCTAGACAATGAAGAGAGGGGACCCAGTGTACAGGGATTACCTATTGATTAGGAGAGGTGAAAGGATTCGTTATATGTGCAAAGGTTGAAGAGACCAGTCATCTCGGGGGAGATGTAATTTGGTATGTCTGGAACTTGGAGTTGCAGGGTAGTTATAGAAGGGTGAAGTAGTACATTGGGCTCTGTCTTAAAGGAACCAGAAAGTCTCCTTAAACAGGTAGATGTGGTGGCCCATGCGCAGGGTGACCCTCTATCAATGAAAAGGAAGCAAAAGGGCTTAGGATATGGTTCAGTGTGAAGGCTAGGGTTCAGGCCCCAGTACCTGGGTGGGTGAACATTATTCTTATGTCAGTGGGAACCCATGGAGAATCTGATGACTTGGTTGCAGTATGGGAAATTGGAAAGGAAGCTACTGGAAGAAGTTACATTTTGTGACTTACATGCTAAGTTAGAGTTGTGACCTAAATTAAGTATTGGCAGTGAATATCAAAAGACCTGACAGATTTAAGGGATTTAAGATATAAAAGCAACAAAAGTTAGAAACATGGTCATGAGTTTCTGGTTTGGGTAGATAAAAAGTACCTTTTAGCAAGATGGGAAGAAGCAGCATTTTTACAAGGAAAGGTGATGAATTACTTCAGAAATAGGACATTTGCATGTCCAAGTAGTGAAATGCTAAGGGGCTTTTGGCAGGAGTTTGATGGGCTGAAGAGCAGAGGTGTGACTCAGGGTGATGAAATAGAGAAAGCAGCTACAATCAAGTCTCCAGACTTATTCTCCTGTTTCCTCCCCAACTTGGGGAGAAGAGAAAAATAGCGATGAGCAAGAACTCCATTCTGCTGATTTTGTCCTTTTTCCTGAATGTTGTTACATGTTGTGCAAGGGATAGGACTACATACGTCTTATATCGTAACGGTACAGATCTGAAGAGTGAACAGTTGAAGCTTCCTGCATTTGAAAGTCACTACCTGAGGGGCTGGGGAGATAGCTCAGTGGTAGAAGCACCTTCCTGGCAAGGGCAAGGTCCTGAGTTCAATCCTTTACCACCAGAAAGTCACTACCTGAGCTCAGGATGCAGCATAGTGGCAGAGCACACCTGCCTAGCATGCATGAAGCTCTGGGTTTGATCCAGAAATAAAAAAGAAAAAAATGTTTCTACCCGGAGTCTTTTTAATATTGAGGTTGAGGGGCTGGAGAGATAGCGCAGAGGCATAAGCATGTACCTGGCAAGCACAAGGACCCAAGTTCAATCCCCGGCCCCACATGCCATGCGGTCTTGACCCCGGATGCGGGCACCCACTGTGTGGCCCCAGAACTGGGCATTGTGGTGCACACCTGTAATCCCAGCACTTGGCAGGTTGAAACATGAGGATCTCTGTGAGTTCCAAGACCAACCTGGGGTCTATATAAGGCCAGCCTGAACTGCATAGTGAGACCCTGTCTCAAAAAATTGAGGTTGAGAATATACAAAGTAAATGTTCAGTGTATGTAGTCATTTTAACAAAGCTAAATCCACTGGTAGCATTTTTCTTTTCACCCTTGCCAGGCAAGCACTTATTCTACTGAGCCATCTCCTTGGCTCCTTTTGGGTTTGTACTTTAGGTTTTTTGGTTTTTTTTGTTTTTTTTTTTTAAAGAAAAAAATAGCAACTCTTACCAGCAGAGGGCAGTAACTTCCTTCTAATTGAAATTATAAATTGAGCATTTCTCTTAGCTTCTCAGAGTATGGCTCAGCAATTAATTTTTTTTGTTCAGATGGCATGGAAGTAGATACAACACCAACAGTTGCAGGACAGTTTGAGGATGCAGATGTTGATCACTGAAAGTCATTTATATTGCTTTAAGGTAAGTAATGCTTACTAAACATAGAATCATGTGAAATGATTAATTTTAATTTTCATAATTTAGTTTGGGAAAATGTACCAATTTCTGAAGTTACTCAAGATTACATTGTTTTCCCCTAAGAAGTCAAAGTCTGCAAACATATTATTCAATTTAACATCTACCTCCTTTTTGCCAAGCACAGCAGTACAAATTGAGTTATATAGAAGAAAAAGGCATAAATGGATTTGAGATTAACCAGTGACAATAACCATTTGTTCAGAAGTAGAGACTCCCTGTGTGCTCACGTGGGAGTAGTGGAACCTGCCCTTGTTTGCTCTCAAGCCATCTTTTTCTTGCTTGAGCCTTAACATGCTCATGACTCTGCTTTTCAGTTTAGGGAGGAAGTAGATGTAACTGCAGACTGAGTCCAACACGTTAATCATAATTTTGTATTACTTCCTTCATGAGATAGCAATGAGGGATGAGGGCCTAGGGACCGTAGTCCAAGGCTCATTTTTCTGAACTTGACTTCCAAACAAGAGCCTATACATTTGTCCAAAAGCCATTCTTTCCCAGGTTGTTTCCTGTCTGCTTTTCATAGCTGACATACGTAATAGCTGTTGGCCAGCTTTTTTTCCTCTGGTACATTATACAGAGCTTTGCCTGAAGTTGTTGTTTACTATTTTGTTATTGGGATAAAGTATATTATCCTTTGTCAGCTTGAGTATATAAGCTGTGTATTAGATGATAACTAAAAGTCATGTAGCTAGGTCATAGCACTAATAACCTTAGCAGTCTCCTTTATAAGCCATAAAATTTTTCCCATTGTTAAATTATGCCACTTTCTACCCTATAATGGCATTATCTTCTTGAGTACTGGCTGTCTTTGAGGTTTTTTTGGTTGTGGGGGGTGTATTTAGTACAAAGTCTCACTACACAGATCTGACTTGTAGTGATCCTCCTGTTTTCAGCCTCCCAAACGCTGTGATTACAGGTGAGTGCCACCATGCCCAGTCTCATTTACCATTTCAGCATGCCCTGGGGGGGATCGAACTCTGCTCCCCGCATCTGCTTAAGCAGGCACTTTACTCTGCTGAGCTATCTGGCTGGCCCTGTTTTTGTGTTTTTTGAGCCACTACTTCCCAGGTTTTCCTACATTACTAAGCAACATTTGTATATTTGACTTAACCCTGCTACTGCCATTAGTCATCCAGTGGGTTGTAAGCTCTCATTATTTACTGGTAAGATAAATACTTCAGCATTCTTTGTTTTCTTGTGATACACTTAGTTCTGAATCTTAAATATTCATTAATGGTATTAAAAGTTTCATTTTATATCAGAAACCAGCCTTTAAAGTTCTGACCCTTCCAAACTATTGCTATTGTATACAAAACAGTGCTTCTCACACCAACCATGTATTGTGATACTGAGTCTCTGCTTTCTACCCAGGTCCTGCCAGTAGGTCTATCAGAAAGTAACCTTTGTAGAGTTCTCTCATTTAGGTCCTTCCCGTATGTCTCAGTTCTTATTTCCACATTTACTTACATCAACGGCTGCCATCTGGCCTAAAGTCAGTGGTGGTTTCCCTGCAGTTATGTGCACACCCCTGACCCTCTGTAAGCCTTGACTCTCCCGTCTTTGAAAGCATGAGAATGCTTTCCAATGTCTGGAGCTTCTACTTCATGGGAGACCTTTTCGTACCAACTCCAGTCATGTTTTCTTACTTCTCTTTCACATTCTTCATAGCATGCTGACTTTTTTAGTTATAATTGTTTAGTAACTTAATGAAACAGGAAGGTAGAATTTGGGATCTTTGGCTTTTTATATATTCTTCAAAAATACTCTTTAGAGAACATAAACTACTCTGTTAATAAAGATCATGAGAAACATATTTGTACTGTCATTAATGATTATACAGTGAGCTGTTGCAGTATCCTTGGCAAGAATTCTTAGGATTCTTTATAATGGTGAAATGACCGTAAAATAGCCACAAATTTTTGTCATGAATTAGTGGCCTATTTTCTGTTTGTTTTGTGTTCTCTGCTCAGAGGCAGAGAGATACTTTTCATAAAGTTTATTCAGTTCTTGTCTGGGTAGTTGACCTGAATTCCAAACAATGTCTGTAAATTTAGAATCATTTAAAATTGTATGTGCCATTGAAGGTTGAATAAGGAATGATTAGAGTTTATGCAAGCGTTAATGATTTCTGGATAATGGAACTAGGATCTCTCAGTGCATGAGATGTAATGAAGGGGAGAGTACGTGACTGCTGGGATTGCAGCTCTACCACGCACTTGACTGTACCTTTGGGTGGGGCATGTAACTTTTCTGATCTTCAATTTCCTCATCTGTAAAATGAGGATGATAATGCCTGGAAGGGTTATTATGAGGTCTGAGGTATATTTAACCCCCTGGTGCTCCTGATAAGGCATTCAGTAAATGATAGTTGCTGTTAATGCTGTCAACCTTTTGTTTTTCAGATTCTGCTCATTACTGTAGGAGAGAACTTGGTGCCTCTTTCTTCTGAAGACAGGTTGATGAATGTCTTTTTTCCTTCTTCAAAACTCACTTAAGCCAGTTCTTCCTCAAGATAAACTATACTGAGACAGCAAGTTGTCATCAGCAGAAGAAACAATGACCTTTATTAACAAAGGTGAATTAGCTTAACCATGGAGGTATTTGTAGTTTATCATTTACTCTCTAACTTTGTGTCTAGGTACACACTGACTAGGCCTATAATTCCTGCCTTTGCTGTATACATTGTCCACACACTAGCAGGAACTTTGCAGGAAAATAGGCTGAAGTTACAGAGATGTTGTGGGGAAAGAGGGAATGCAGGTCTTTGGGCTCTAGAATACCTTTATCCATAAAAGAAAAGGCAGAGGTCTCAGAAGCGGCAGTAGTATCTTGTCATTCTCCACAGGGACAAGCATCTCACTAATCTGGGGGAGATTATTTCAGACCTATCTAGGTGGTCTCTTGGGGAGCATCCCAGTTGCAGATCCTGCCCTGGTATAAGTACTTCTGGGTAGCTTCTTCTCCTTCCACCCTGTTCTTTCCAGTCTGCTTTGTTATAGCCTCTTAGCTTATATCCTTTAATTGCTACCTTCTTAGTTTAGTTTTCTGTTAAGTGAACTGGGATGATAAAGTACTTCTGATGATAATTGTTTTGTCTTTGTAATAGTTTAACAAATAAATCTAGGTTTTCTATGTTGCTGTGCTCTCATTCTTGACTAAAACCAATAGCAAGGAGGCTTTTTTTTTTTTTTTTTTTTTTTTTTTCCTTAGGCAGTGGTAGCAAAAAAATGAGATCTTGGTCTTGTTTTTGTTTGCTTTCACTAAAAACATGAAGATGAAATAAGAAAATATATTGTTAGAACTTACGGCAAATATTTAGTAAAGCCACAATTTAACATGTTTTAGGGAATTTCTGCTGCTTCTCCTTGGATCAAGAGTCATTTTGTGTATTTATCAGCTCTTTTTAGTTTTCTTAAGACACTTGGGTTATAAGGCTGGTTTGTTGTTAATAGAATTAGACCTGAACTGCAGCTACCACTATATGTATAGTCTTAAAAGTAGGTGGTAGTGGTGGGGATAAGGTTAAGTAAGTTACTCAGAGTTGTTTGGCTAATTGTTAGCTCAATTCTCATTTAATACCCCTGATCCCAGAGTCCTCCCCACTTTCCCTTGGCTTTCCTAATCCTGCCAGGAAGACCAAAGAAAACTCATTTTCCTTTTTTACCCACACACTCAGAAATTCTGCATCTCTTATAATAGTTCAAAAAATAGTTCAAAAAAAAACACTTGGAGTGGAAGCTAAAATTTTGACAGTTCCTCTGAATTGGCCATTATCCTGGGCTCTTTATGTATATTATGCATTATAATATACTTGATAATATACTTATTAAAGGATGCACTTTAATAGCCAATGTATTATATACCACTTTATAAATGAGGACACACAGGAGAGAAGTGAAATGACTTAAAGTCATACACATTAAGAGTTACAGTTTTTAAGCCTGTGCTCCAACACATCATCCAGCCTAGAAGCTGTACAAGGTTTTCAGTAGACAGCATCAGAGTTGCTAAAATTTTTTTGCTACTCACCGGGACAATTGCCATTCTACAGTAAAGAGTCGGGATTTCTCTTGGACCTATTTTATTTTTTTTGCGGTACTGGGGATTGAACTCAGGACCCTGCACTTGCCATAGAGATAGCTCTACTGAATTATCTCCCCAGGCCCCCTTGGATCTATTTTAGAAAATCCATTTGACTTTCTTTGTAAGAGAACAAATTCATAATCATGACTTCGGATGAAACAGGTGCTTCTGTACACTTTCCTGTGGGTGTTGCTGTGGTTAGCCTAGTATTGTGGGTAATGCAGCACACAGAAATGGAACGCTCAGCCTCTAGTGTTGGCGTGGCAGATGGGATAGTTAACCTCTGGGCTTATTTTCTCCTCTATAAAATGAGAGGATGAGACTAAATAACTTTTCAAAGATTTAACTCTGTGCTTTTCTGTAATACTAGATAGTTAAATCCATTAGTCTGGCCTAATATTGGAGAAAATATTAGGTCAGACTGTTAAATGTGAAATTCAGTTATAAGCAAGCTGACATTTATTGTATTTAGGCTTAATTTTAATGTTACTGGAATTCTATTTGCATGTTTGATGTAAAGAAACTTTATTATCATTTTTAATATATTTAGTACAGGGTCTCACTACACAGATCTGACTCATAGTGAACCTCCTGTTTTCAGCCTCCCGAGTGCTGGGATTACAGGCATGCACCAACATGCCCAGTCTCAGTCACCAACACAGCATTCCGGGGATCGAACCCCGGTCCCTGCGCCTGCTTAGCTATTTGGCAGGCCCTGACGTAAAGGAACTTTAAAGGCATAGGCATCTTTCCCTTTCCTCCCACATGTGCACCATCTAAAAATATTCCTCAAAGTTAGGGTTAGTGGTTTTTAGGTTCTTAAATTTAAAAATATGGTCTTCGTGGATTTCCTTCTCCCTCAGAGAAGATATTTATACTTTTCACATGTGCTTAAATTCTTTTTTTTTTTTTTTTTTTGCCATAGTTTTATTGATAAACAAATAGCAGTGAGACAGTTTCAAATCAAATCAGTAGGACAGTTTCAATAATTAACACACTGCATACATTCTTCTTAGTGGTTAATTGCTGTACAAGATACTGGACTTGATATCCTATTTACGTGTGCTTAAATTCTTAATGTGTCTTTTTTTTTTTTTTTTGCGGAACTGGGAATTGAACTCAGGCCCTTGCGCTTGCCAGGGAAGCGCTTATTCCACGGAGCCACCTCCCCGGCCCCTCTTAATGTGTCTTTAGAGTTTGTTATCTTCCTTGGTGTTGATAAAGGAAAATGTACCAATAACTATAATGTGCATCCCTTTGCTTTAGACTGATGTGATTTGTAATGGTTCAAAAATACTTCATATTTGAAATTGGTTTCGTCTACAGGATTTCAGGAGCTGCACAATTTAAGCTAATTCTCATGTATTTTAAAAATGTAACAGCCAGGGACAAGGGTACATACCTATAATCCCAGCTATTTAGGGAGCTCGAAAGTCTGAGGCCAGACTGGACAATTTAGAGAAAACTTGTCTCAAAATTTCAAAGGGATTGGATGGGAAGCATAGCTCAGTGGTAGAGCAGTGTTTGTCACCCCAGTGTGAGGCCCTAGGTTCAATCCCTACTACTGCTAAAGGAAAAGAGAATACGAGCTGTATAACTTGGGGATAAGGCTTAAATAGCTAAAAGTACATACAGAGTAATAATTCTAAAGTTTTTTAGGATTATTTTAGAGATTATACAAATTCCCTAATATGCAAAGCATATGAACAATTAACTAGAAATAGCTTAGATGCCAGTTATTGCAAATAATAGTAATGATTTATTTTCATAATAGAACTTTAACATTAACCCACCACTTACAAGTATATCTGAGAAAATTGAAATTTATTTATTTTTATATTTTAGGGAAGGGTCTACAGGGTGTTCAGGGTCTCACTGATCAGACTAGTTGTGATCCGCTTGTTTACAGCCTCCCAAGAGCTGGGATTATAGGGGCACGCCACCATGCCCTGTCTCAATTGCCATCTCAGTACACCCCAGGGGCCACCACGACAGGCCTGGGGATCAAATCCCTGGCCACTGCGCCTGCTTGCAGGCACTTTAATCCGCTGCGCTATTTAGCCAGCCCAAAGTTTGAAATTTAGAACTGCTGAGCAATTAAAGTAACCTTCATGAAGTTCATACATTTTTCTCCATAGGCCCTTCAGACCTTCACTGCAAGTCTCTTATTCTATAAACATGTTTAAGACACTGGAAAAGGTAGTTTCTTTTCTTTTTTTTAATGTTTTAATCAAGCTTTATTTTTTATGTTAATTTTAATGAGAAAGAAGTAGCAATGAGAGGTTCAAAACAGGTTAGTAGGACAGTTACAATAATTAATACATTGCATATTGTTGTCTTTGTAGTAGTTATTTACAATACAAGATGCAGACATGATATCTTGTCTAAACACTTAGTTCAAAACTTCTCATTGAATTAAGAGAAAGCTGTATATCTATGCTATTTTGTATATACAGATATACAAAATTTTTCACTGTATTTTCACTACAAAGACAATGTAGTTTCTAGACATGGCAGGTTAGTAAAAGATATAGTAGTGGTTGTGTTAAGGCATATCAGTAGCAGCAGTAAAGAGTTGACAGCATTACAAAGAGAAACAAATACTCCCTCAAAATAAGCAGTCTAGGCCTATATAACATACAGTGCAGATAGTAAGGACATGGAATATAAAGATACTGCAGCAGTTGTTATAAAACTATGACCTGGTGCCAGCCCAAGTTTTGAAAGAACTGTTTTGATATTGGAAATATGAGTATTTGTGCGGAAATGACTTTGTGGCTTTTGTTTATTTAAGATAGGACCTCACTGCAGTTCAAACTAGCCTTGAACTCACTGTGTAGCCCAGGCAGGTCTTGAACTTATGGCAAATTCATGGCGATCTATCTGCCTCTGCCTCCCACATGGTGGGGTGTTGGGATTACAAACATGCCCCACCACATCCAGTACGACTTCTTTTAAATACTGTGTCAGCCTAATAAAACATGCCATTCAACTATTTAACATTTAACTCTTGCATCACAATTCTGTGGCCTCTGATTGTTACATACTGCTTTACTTTGATATTTTGAAAGTTGAAATCCCAGATTGTCACACTGACTGCCTTGCTGGGCAGGCTCAGCAACAAGCTGCACCTACTTCAGTCTGCAGATGTAAGTATTGTGACTGTCTACAAACTGATCTCTAAGCATCAGTTAAGCTACCGAGCAACTTCTCAGTTACTTGTTAATTGATTAGTGTTACTCAAGCAGATCATATCTACCCTCCTATTTTTGAGAACTTTCAAATCTAACTCTGATAACAGTTGTCTTTGAAGAGAAACACACTCACATTTTTTTTCACATTTAACCTTTTAATGACCTTAACTTGTGATAAAAATTAGACCTCATAAAAGGAGGGCACAACATGTGCCCAGCCATCACGTGCACCCACTGTGGCCACTGTTGAGCAGCTAGCAGATGGCATCTGGTGGACAGCAGAGGCTCTGAGGACGACAGGGACGAGTGGGAGCAGTTACGCCAGAACTGGGGGCAGTGGCTAAGCCAGATTGTGGCATCACTTATGAGGGCACCTACCTCACCATTAAAACCAAGAGCACCCTGAAAACACACAGCTTTCCTGTAAGCTGGGAAAGAAGTTGGAAGAGACCACAGCTGATGGCCGAACTATGCAGACGGTCTGCAGCTTTCCAGCCGGCGTGACGGTCAGCACCAGGAGGGGATGGGAAGGAGAGTTGGGAAGGTAGCTGTGGAATGTGTCATGAGCAGTGTCACTACTTGGGTCTGTGAAAGCTCAGTTTAAAGGGCAATTTTCTTTTTTTGGTCATTACTTTGGTCACTTACCTATATCATAAGCATTTTATATGCAACTATTTTGAAGTGTTGATTTCACTTAGATCATCTTTTTGGTTAGTAAATATGGTTATGCTAAAAATATAAGGGAGGCTTCTGATAGAAAAAAACCAAAGATTCTTTAAACCACAAAATGTAAATTTCCTAAATTTATTATTAAAAAACTAGTGGTTTTTTTTTTTTTTAAGCTTTCAGTTTTCCACTGAGAAGTTCTGGGCTGAAAAAGTCTAAGGATAGTATTCAGCTCTGTGTGACCTTTGATGAGTGCAGGTAGAGTCCTCTGAGCTTAGCCTCCTTTTCCATAAGATAGAAATGAGAAATCTGCATTACAAGGTACAGAGCTTGAATCTTGATTTCTGTGGTGCACTGTTATTCTGTTGAAGAATCAACTTCCCTGAAGATAGATTGTCTGCTTAGCGAAAAGAACTAGATTAGATTGTATTTAAAAGTTAGGAGACTGCTTGAGGATCAGCAGCTATGTCATTTACTTCTCAAGGCAACTTTCCTAGTGAAAGGTGACACCACTGGTGGCATCCCTGTGTGAGGTAGTGGCTGACAAGTGTCTTCTCTCCTATAAACAAAACCAGTTGTACTTCAGTTAGAAACCATGTTCATTCAGGATACTCCGATGCACAAATCTTTGGTCCTGCTATCACCTTCCCTTCCATGGTCAACTTTACAATCTCATTAAGAATTATTTCAGGTTTACGTGAAGTTTAATGAATGGGTCTTTTTAAAGCAGCATTTAATACATCACTCAAAAGAACAAGTCTTGGGGCTGGTGAGATGGCTCAGTGGTCTAAAGCACCTACTTAGAACAAGCTAAGCTAAGCAAAGCACAGGGACCACGGTTCAATCCCCCAGCACCACATGCCAGCCAGCCCCGCCCCCTGGTGGGTTGAGCTGGCCACACACACACACACACACACACACAAATAAAAATTAAAAAAAAAAAAGAATTTCTAAAAAAAAAAAAAGAACAAGTCTTAACTGAAATACAGAATACCTCAATTTTACAGTAAGTTTTTAATTCCCAGTAATGAAAAATTTTAAGACATCTTCCCCGATGGAAGTCAAAACATTGATAAATCCAGTGCAGCTAGTATTTTGAGCACGAGGTAATAAAATCTTTATCATATCCAGCTTGACTGTCCTATAACTTTGTCTCAGCTTTTGGAATAGTTACTCCTTTTTAGTAATTATTTGGTTGTGATTCAGCCATGGTGGCAAAAAGCTGAACATCAAAATCATCAACAGTATACCTGAAAGACAATTTTAAAAAAAGATCATAATCAGTTATTGGGTATAAATTAATGATCTCCTATTTCTCTTCAACCATGATCCCTAAATATAACATGTACTTGGTAAGCCAAATAGGATCTAAAAAGTGAGTTCAGGAGCTATGGAGATGGCTCAGTGGAATAAGCACTTCCCTGGCAAGCACAAGGGCCTGAGTTCAATCCCCAGTTCCGCAAAAAATAAAAAATGAGTTCAAAGGATAAGCAGACAACCAAGAAGGAGAATTTTCGTTCCGCTGCCATTTCTGACTTGCAGAGAAAGCCGGGGCCTGGGTATGGTGTGCTCCTCAGTGAGGTGACAGCTCTGCCTCCCTGCAGAGCCCAGAGGCCAGAGCACTTGGACTTTCACCTGGAAGCTCAATAAGAGCTATGTGCATTGCTTTTTCTCTCCTCTTTCTTTCTTCTTTTCTTTTTTTTTTTTTTTTTTTTTTTTTTTTTTTTTTTGGCAGAACCAGGGATTTAACTCAGGTCCTTGAGCTTGCCAGGCAAGCGCTTATTCTACAGAGCCATCTGCCCGGTCCCTCTCTCCTCTTTCTTACTAGCACTCAGCCATTAATAGCTTTTAGATGAGTCAAGTAAAATGCTTGAAACAGTTTCACTGAATGCTGAATTCTTTTTCTTTAGTTTTTAAAAATTTTTATTAACACATGTTTTCAGTTACATGATGATTACATCCACTGTGGAGCTGATACACATACATAGCACGTATTAATTACTTTTAAGTACCAAGGATTGAACTCAGGACTCTGCGCTTGCCAGACAGGTTAATCTTAAATCTTTAACTTTTTTAGGCTTAAAACCCTAGGGCTTGCATTCAGGCTTTAATAATGAGGTTTTATTGTATGCAGGTTAAGATTATTTTACTTTTTTTTATTTTAGGGAAGGGTCTACAGGGTGTTCAGGGTCTCACTACTAGATAGGACTCATAGTGATCTGCCTGTTTACATCCTCCCAAGAGCTGGGATTATAGGTGCGCACAACCATTTTAACCTTTTTAGCAACAACAGAAAAACCTCAGTATTTGGCTAGCATTTTGACACTCTAAACAATCTTTTGAAAGATGCATATGTAATGAGTCTTTAAACGAAAAGAGCCAGGGAGATAGCTGGGCGGCATAAACACTTTGCTGGTAAGCACAAGGTCCTGAGTGTGATCCCCAGTACCACAAAAAAAATACATGTTAAATAAATAAATGAAAAAGTCAAATACCATCCCGTTGTTAACTGACCCCAGATTTTGTAAATTTCTGTAGTCAGAGCTAGAAAACAAGACATGGCATTTGAAACTTTAAGACAGCACAATGGTGCATGCCTGTAATCTGCAAGGCTGAGGCAGGAAGATCCCAAGTATAAGGGCAGCCTCCATGATTTACTGAGACTCTCAAAATTGAAAACTGCTGGGGATGTCGGTCAAGAGGAAAGCCCTGGATTCAATCCCCAGTATGACCAAAAACTTTCTAAAAATGGAATTACAGTTTTAATGAAGTAAACAGAATTTGCCGGGTTTTATTGTATGAAATATATAAATTCTATATTCTTCTGAGGTTTTGTTTTTTGAGACGGTGTCTCATTACATAATCCAGGCTGGTCTTGACCTCCCCTGTGTAGCCCACACTAGCCTTGAACTTGCTTTAACCTCCCTAGTGCTGAAATTACAGGCATGTGCCACCATGCTTGGCTCCCTACTTACATTCTTTTTTATATCTTTTTTATTTATTTATTTGGTACAGGGTCTTATTACTACGCAGCTCAGACTCAGTGATCCTCCTGTCTCAGCCTCCCCAGCACTGGCATGTGCCACCATACTGAGGTTCGGGGCCAGCATGGAATGCAGTACCAGGGATCAAACCTGTGCCCTTGTGCTTGGCAGGCAGGCGCTTAGTCTGCTGAGCTATCTCCCCAGCCCCTGTTTACATTCTTATAGTCATATTTCTAGCATTTTTTAATGTGGAAAGATGACAAAGGGTGTTAGAGGAATTACAATGATCCCTTATGATGTGAACTTTTGCAGTTGATTTTTTTGCATTTGGCTTTTTTTTTTTTTTTTGGAAGGGTCTACAGGGTGTTCAGGGTCTTACTACTAGATCGGACTCATAGTGATCCACCTTTTTACAGCCTCCCAAGTGCTGGGATTACGGCATGTGCCACCACGCCCAGTCTCAATTGCCCTCTCAGTGCACTCCAGGAGTGAGGCCAGCAAGGCAAGCCCGAGGATCAGGCACTTTAATCTGTTGAACTATTTAGCCAGCCCTTTTTTTATTTTTTCAGTCTTTTTCTCCATCTCGTAACTCTTCAGACAACTCTTGTGAATTATAATTTATTTTTCCCACTCAACGGTGATTTTAAGTCATTTGTACCCATTTTTTTCCATAAGGAATGTAACTTCAATAAGACAAAATTCAATAGCAAACTAGCATTTAGTGTTTTTTGTTTTTTTGGGTTTTTTTGGTGGAACCAGGGATTGAACTCAGGCTCTTGCCCAGCAAGTGCTTATCCTACTGAGCTATCTGCCCAGCCCCTAACATTTAGTGTTCTAACAATTGCCATTTATTCACATACATGCATTTTATCAACATATATTAAAGGATGGCTTTTTCATTCATAAACCTCATTAAAGAATACAAAAGCTTGTTTCTTTAAACCAAGAAGTGCAACAGAAATGTTATGTCCAGTCCTTTGGAATCTGTGAATATGTAGTCTCAACCAGCTAAATAGGGTCATGCCTGATTCCACTTGTAAGAGATTCTTTCTATAGGCAGCAAATGAATAAAAATATTTTTATTTGGGTATTTCAGCTGTTTTCATGTGTCTTTAAAATTTGTTGAAAAAAAAAAGCATTGGTACTGGTGACAGGGTGTTATCTTCCTGTTCAAACTGTACTCTCCCACTCTGGTCTGTAGAGGGTAAAGAGTTTTTTCCTTTATTTGTCTATCATGAGGTGTTTTCCTTTATCATGTGACTTTTGTTTTAAAATAGAAAATGAGCAATAAAAACCAAAATGCTCACTAGACAAAAACAAGGGTAGGACATTAGTGATGGCTAGGTGTCCTTATTAGTTTATAGTTAGGACTTATAAGTAGGCTTAAAACAGGTAGCTAGGTGGATTTAGTGCTGTTTCTAATTCCAGGACTCCAGAGGCTGAGGCAGGAGGATCATGGGGAGTTGAAGCCACCCTGGACTACATGAGTTCAAGGCTGGCCTGAAGGAAAAAAGAAATTGAAAAAAGAAAATTAAAATCAATAAATGCCAACAACTGATATAAAAAAGTGCTTTTTTTTTTTTTTTTTTTTTTGAAATGGTGTTGCATGTAGTTTGGGGATTACAAAATGAATTCGTGTGGGAATTACAGGCTTACACCCCAAAAGTGAGCTCAAGAAATGCATATTGACTGGGCTGGAGATAACAGCTCCTGTAGAATCCTTGCATGACATACTTGGGGACCTAGGTTCAAGCCCAGTACCACCACCATCACCCATCCTCCAAAGAAAGCCGGGTAACTGTATTTTTTGACATGTTATTTGACCCCTCTACATAGAAATGGCCATGTATCGGATCTAAATAGAGCTTGTATATAATTTATTTTTTATATTTATTTATTTATTTATTTTGTATCTGTGTGTGGCCAGCTCAGCCCACCAGGGGGCAGGGCTGGCTGGCATGTGGTGCTGGGGGATTGAACCGTGGTCCCTGTGCTTTGCTTAGCTTAGCTTGTTGTAAGTAGGTGCTTTAGACCACTGAGTCATCTCACCAGCCCCAGAGCTTGTATATAATTTAAAAACTGCTTATTTGCAGTTGTTAAGTCATTTAGGAGATGTTCTTCTGCAAGTCAAGTGACAGTTTGAAGCTTAAGTTTAAAGACAAATTTTAGCAAAAAAAGATTTTTTTTTTTTTTTTTTTTGGTAGAACTGGGGATTGAACTCAGGCCCTTGTGCTTGCCAGGGAAGCGCTTCTTCCACTGAGCCATCTCCCCAGCCCAAAGATTTCTTAAGTAATGCCTTTTTTTTTTTTTTTTTAAAGAGTCTGAGCTCCCTTGTGCTCAACAGACTTTTCTGCCTCAGTCTCCCTGCAACTATTAATTACAGCCTCAGGCCCCTGCACTTGAAACTGCACGCATGGTAGGGACCAGACCAGGAGCAAGCAGCATGCATAATCAGGGTGTGGGTGTATGGTGGGAGCTTTATTCCAGGGCCTTGGAACTCTAGATCTCCAGCCCTTTTGAGACAGGGTTTCACTCAGATGAGCTTGAATTGGGGATCTTCCTACTTCAGCTTCCCAGTGTTGGGTTTGTAGAAGCGCACCTGTCCAACCCCTTGGGGTGTCTTAAAGAGATGTCATACCTGAAACTGATGAACCTAAACTTCATGATTTTTCTTTTTTTTTAAAAAAAAAAAAAAAAAAAACATCTTTTATTCTTTGAAAAGCGCCTTTTATTTTTTTTTTTTTAATTTATTTGTGTGTGTGTGTGTGTGTGTGTGTGTGGCCAGCTCAGCCCACCAGGGGGCGGGGCTGGCTGGCATGTGGTGCTGGGGGATTGAACCGTGGTCCCTGTGCTTTGCTAAGCTTGTTCTAAGTAGGTGCTTTAGACCACTGAGCCATCTCACCAGCCCCTTGATGATTTCATTAGTTAGTGTATTTACTCACTTATGGTGCTAGTGAAGCCCAGGGCCCATGAGTGTCAGGTAGGGATGGTACTACTCAGCTGCACCCCCAGCTCTGATGAAGACTTGAAATGCTGCTGTATAAAATGAAATCTTACTTCGAGCCTGTTAACTACCTTTTTCTTTTCTGTGCTTACTCTGCTGTGGAAATAACGTTCCATATATTTTTTTTCATTCCATACGTTTTTAAATACCAGGATTTTCAGACATAGTAAATAAAAATGTGCTTACCTACAGAAGGAGCCAGCCAGTATACTGTAAAAAATTGAGAGAAAGCTTCATCAAAACACACGAAATGGAGTGACAGTGCCAGAGCTGGGTTAAAGAGCGCTCCTGTTAGACTTCCTCCTGTAATATATGTTAAGCAGAGTGACTCCAAGATGATGTGTTGGGCATTTTCTTGTACCTAGAAATCAATACATCATTCAACTATTTTGTTGTAGATAATGAAGTACTCTCAGTTCTGTGATACTCCTGTGCAGACTCACTTACCTGGCCTGGAGTGTAGCTGCACACCCCCATTCCAACTCTGATTCGGGGTCCAGGAGTTTACAGTTCTGGCCACACGGCAGGAAAGGCAAGGCTGAGGGGGCTGGGTGACCATCCAGCACTCCCTGAACTCAGTGTGCTCTACCTGAGCACTCCCTGAACTCAGTGTGCTCTGCCAGCCTCCCTGAGACAGTGCCATTCCTGCTTCTCCTGTTGTTGGAGCCCAGGGGCACACATCTGTAGATTCCAGGAGCTCCTCAGAGCTTCATGTGACATACCAACACTACAGCATATTGTCTTCATAAAGTGGAATTGGAAATTAACCCATTCATGGCATTTAATGAGATTTCACACTTGATGGGCTGAGAATAAAGCTTTGTTGAGATGAAGATACTGAACAGAACAGCTTCCTCCACGGCTTTTTCTAGTATACCAGCCTGACAGTGATTCATATTGGTGTCCCAGCAACTATAAATGATGATGTGTTAGGAACCTTCAGGATCATCCTTAAACAGTCAAATCCTGAATTGTAAACCTGTACCTGCCATGGGTCAACCAGATTGTTTGATTGGCAGCTGGTCATTAAGAGTCCACAAAAATCCCCTTCTGGATATTTTCCCAGAACTAAAAGCATCCTACCATGGCAACATATGGACACCCATGTTCATAGCAGTACAATCGTGGTTAAATCTTGGAAACAACCCAAAGGCCCATCACCTGAGGAATAAGTAAAAAAAGATGTGGCATTTTCACGCAAATGGAGTATTACTCAGCTATAAAAACAAAATTGGCAGACAGATACAACTAGAGACTACACTCCTAAGTAAAATAAATCAGACCTGCAGATGTAAATATATTGTCTCCCTAGTGAAAGAACCTGACATAGTAAATAAAATCCAAAGGTACAGTAGATATTGTGAAAGAGAAACTTCTCTTTAGTAAAGAATAACTTGTATGAGGGAAAGGAGAAAGGAGGGAAATATACATAAGGATTTATACACACACAAGATAGCAAAGATAATAGTGTTGCACTTCTATTGGCCTATTGAAAGGAACGGTCGATGCTTAATTTTTAAAAAAAGTCCACAGAAAACAGGTGTACTGTAATCTCAGCACTTGGGAGGCTGAAAACAGGAGAATCACTACAAGTCTGATCTGTGTAGTTTGACTGTGTAGACCCTGCACTAAGTACATTTAAAAAATAAAAACAAAAAACCTATTGTGTCACTCTTGTACCTTTCTGGAGTTGTCCTGCTATCCCTCCCTTCACAGTTCTGTTCAGTAATTTGGCAGAAGCTGCTCCTCCTACAAGCAGGAGTCTGTCCCCCACCCTTTCATTTTTCCTTCAGTGCTAAGAAGTGAAACCAGGGCCCAATACCTGGCAGGCAGGAACCCTACCGCTGAGGTGCTTCCCCGGTCCTTTTTCAGACAGGGTCTAAGTTTTCCAGGCTGGGCTCAAACTGCCCCAGCCTCTCGAGTAGCCGGGATTACACGTGTGCACAACCACGCCTAAGTTCCCCTCTTGAACATGGGTTACCTTTGTGACTTGAGACTGCAGAAGTGAACAAATTCTCAGTGTGACAGGAGTGACACTGAATTCCAGGCTCAGGTAGCAACAAACCATCAGCTTCCACTTGTTTGGTCTTAGAATAAGCTGGTCTAGGCTCAGGAGGAGAGGCTAGATGAGAACGCTCAGCTTACAGCTGGTACTAACAGCTGGACAGATGAGGACACTGTCCACCTGAATCCAGGAACCTGAGTAGTTTTAAAGACTCTGCCAACCTAATCCACTGTTAAGTTTTGGAAGCGTTTATTACAGATAAAACTGAAAAGAAATTCACATTAGGCACAGCATTGGCTTAGCTGTTCAGCTGGATACTGGGGGCAGGGGGTGCTATCCTGTACGCTGTGAATGTGCAGTGGTGTCCCTGCTCCCTGCCCACCCTGAAACAGCCAAACATTCTCCAGACGTTGCCAAGTGTCCCTGGCAGCAAAGTTCCCTGGTTGAGAACCACTCTGGAGAAGCACTGTCATAGGTTTGTTTATTTATAGTGACAACTGGGAAAAACAAAAAAGTTCATTCATAAATAGCTAAGCAAGTTTATTATTACTATGGAGTATCATGAAATATTTTGAAATGATGAGCAAATCTTTCTAGTAACATTAATCACTGAACAACTATCACCAAAAAAGTAGAGTGTGAGATGTGTTGGGTCAGCCTGCTGCCCTGTGACAAAACACCTGAGAAAAGTAACTTGAAGCAGCAAGGTTTATTTAGCTCCCAGGGCACAGGTTTCAGCCCATGCTCAGCTAGCTCCTCTCTGCCTTTCATGAGGCAGAAACATGGCAGAGGGCCTGATGGAAACGAAGCCTCTAGACTTGAAGCCTGGAAGAACAGAGCCAGAGAAGGGCTGTCATCAAGATGGTCCGAAGCACCTGCTGAGACAGGCACAGAGACCGGGGTTCAATCCCTGGCACTCCAAGCCGTGCCAGCCTCGCCCCTGGGGCACACAGAGATAATGAATGAGACTGGGCATGGTGGCACGCACCTGTATTCCCAGCGCTTGGGAAGCTGAAAACGGGAGGATCAAGCGAGACCCTGCAGACCCTGTACTGAATACATTTAAGGAAAAAAAAAAAAAAAGCTAAAAAATAAAGACAGTCTGGAGCACAGATCGCCAGGACTGGCCTCCCTTCGCCAGGCCCACCACTGAAGCTTCCATCAGCTCCCGTGCTGCCGTGAGAGCACCCTCAGGAGCTCTCACCTCCTTCCCAGAGTCCCCCACCTGGTAGCCACACACTGGCCTTTGGGGCCATTGTAGATCCAAGCTGAAACATTAAGTATATTTTGTATGGTAACAACACAAACGTAACACTACAGTTTCACTGAGTATGATCTATGCATGTAATAAGTCCATTTAAAGAATATAGAACAACGCGTCAGAAACAGATTACTAGCGGCAAGAGCAGGCAGCAAAGGAGAGGGCCGGCACAGGGACCTGTTCTTGCCAGGCAGGCATTTATGCCCCTGAGCTATCTCCCAGGTCCTGAAGTGTTTGTTCTATTGTTCTTTTGTGGTCAGCTCAGCCTGCCCTGACATGGTATAGCATGTGCCAGGCAGGATCAAACCGAGACTCCTGCGCTCGCGCTTTAGACCGCTGAGCTATCTTACTGGCCCTTTTTTTTTTTTTTTTAGTATTATTATTTAAATAATGGAGATGGCTGGCATTAGACTGTCTTTTTATTTTTATTTTCTAAATGTATCTGGTACAGGGTCTCACCAAGCAGCTCAGACTCCTAGTGATGCTCCTGTTTGCAGCCTCCCCAGCTCTGGGCTTATAGGTATGTTCCACTACGCCCAAACTCGTGGCCGGCTCAGGTGTAGCAAGTGGTGCCAGGGATCAAACTCCTGTCCCTGTGCTTGCCTAAGCAGGTACTTAGTACACTAAGCTATCTCGCCATCCCATTGGTTCTTACAAAGAGAACATATGCATGTGTTGTGCAATTAAATGTGAATTATTAAAGAATAACCAGGCACAGAACTGTTAGAAAGTGGCTTCAGCAGACAAGTTACTACTTACGGGCATAATAGTGCCCGCCAAGAGGAGGCATCATTGGGGCGATCTTCCTGGCAGACTGCTAGAACCTTAGAGGAAGGCTTAATGAACTTAATGAAATTGCCACAACCAAAGATGAGGCCCCAAGTCTGCCAATTCTAGGATACTAATATTTCTCAATATTTTTAAGGGTAATAAAATTCTGTGTGTCAGAAGGGTATCAGTCAAAAATCGAGTAAGACTCATGTATAAGCTGGGTCAATTTCCGAATTTATAGTGGAAGCCAGTTTTCTAGTAACCAGGATACTTGCCTTCCATCTCCAAGGTACCCACTTCCTGTCAAGCATCCCCTGGAAAGCCAGTCTATCATTAGAAGTCCCATGGTGAATGGATAATCAAAGCACACACTGACGCGGTCTGGAAACACACCACCATCCCCAACTGAAAGGCTCTTGAATGGCAAAACTGTTGTGCCCAGATTCAGTCTACCTCACGGACAGGGCTCGTAATTGCATCCCAAACATTTCCAGCATATGCTGGTTCACAGCCCGTTGATACACTCATTACTAGGTCAGCAAGCGAGCGAGCTGCTATATTAGGTTAGTTATTCTTATGAACCTGAAGAATAATGGCATGAACATTTCTCAGAGGATAGGGAACAAGGAGGAATTTGTACAAAAATCAATTAACTAAAGTCTATTTCACCCTACTAATTTAAAAAAGTTAACTGGATGACTTACAAATAGGCAAATTTCTATATAAACGTGTAAATTAAACTTTCCTGAATTTATCCCCAAAGGACTTGTAAATGTCAAAATTAACAATTATGCAAAAAAGGTCAAGTTATACTACAAGCCTGTGATAAATTAGTAGGGTGATAACACTTCTCAAGCACTTGGTATGTGCCAGAGACTATTCCTTATACTCTTTGGACAGTGTTACTGTTTTTTTGTTTGTTTGTTTGTTTGTTTGTTTGTTTTGGTGGTACTGGTGATTGAACTCAGGCCCTTATACGGAAAGTGCTCTACTGCCGGGCTGTACACAGCTCTTGCTGAACTATGTTAGTTCCAAACTTCCACTCATGCCTCAACCTCCAAGTGCGTCCTACTAAGCCTGGCTTTAGTCTCCATTTTGAAGATGAGGAAACTGAGGCCTGGATTAAGTACATTTCCTAGTTCAGGGCCACAGCCCAGCTCTCCTGTGCCTCAGCCAGTGTTACATTGCTATAGTAAAAAGGAATATGGGACCTGGCTTTATATGTAAATTGGTAATAGCATTCATTTTATGTAACTGCTGTGTTAAAAGGTAACATGTATAAAGAATTTAGTTCACTTTTTAAAATTATTTATTTTATTTATTTTTATTTTTATCCTCCTGTCTTAGCCTCTACAGTGCTGGGATTACAGGCATGTACCGCCACCCCTAGTTTCGGTGTTCCAGTTGTTCCAGAGCCAGTTCGACATGCGGTACAGGGGATCGAACCCAGGTCCTTGAACTTGCCAGGTAAGGCATTCAGACCACTAAGCTATTTCTGCAGGCCCCCTCCTTTTATTTTATTTTATTTTTTTTTTTTGGTATCAGGAATCAAATTCATGACATCCTGCTTGCCAGGCAGACCATGTGCTGCTGAGCTATATCCCCGGCTCCCTTCTTTTTTGACAGATAATGTTATCTCCATTTATGGTTTAGAAGGATACCAAAAATCTGCAATGAAGTCAAAACAGTACAATTACTTAAAACAGTCTATTACTTATATTGAAAGCCCTTGGATATATAATGTGGATTACCATGTGTTTTATCTTTCTGTACAGTTCTTTAAAAAATTAATAGGGCCCAGGGAGATAGCTCAGCGCCATAAGCACTTGCCTGGCAAGGACAAGGCCTTCGAAGTTTGATACATGGTACCGGGAAAAAAAAAAAAATCTATTCTGGGCCAGGGAGATAGCTCGTGGTCTATCTCCTGCTTGGCAAGGACAAGGACCCAGGTTGGATCCCCAGTACTGCATGCCGTGCCAGCCACAGAAACTGGGCATGGTAGGGCACCCCTGTAATTCCAGCACTTGGGAGCTGAGGCAGGAGGATCGTTTCGAGTTCGAGACCAGCTTGGGCTACAAAGTGAGCTCAATGCCAGCCTGAACTGCACAGGGAGACCCTATCTCAAAATGGCCAAAAAGAAAATGAAAGAATTTATATTAGAGAGGCCAATAAATACACCAGTGGTAATGACATCAGTAGGCTCCAAGGAGCCTCCTCTTGGGGTGGTGCAGTTTTAGAGTATGTGTTAAGCATATACAAGGAAGGCCCCAAGTTCAACTCCAGTACCATCAAAAGCTTGAGCTGCTAAAAATCAGTAAATATATGTGTGATCCTAGGAACCTGTTATACTCTGAATCTTAAACAAGGTCATTAATCCTTTATTTTGACATGACCTGTGTGGGAGATTCCTGAGTGCTCAAAGCCAAATAAGTGATTAAAGAAGTTTCCAAGCAATGCAACTTTGTCAAGTCTGTACTCATACTACGTAAGAGGCTTAATCAAAATGACTTGTAATGAGGCCGGACCTCGTCGACTACTCCACCTCATCCCCTGTACATTCCATCTTCCTATAAAATAGAAAAGCTCACTTTTGCCTGACTGGACACTCCCCTAGTCCCAAAACAGCCCATTCAATCTGGAATAGTTATGACATATCTACAGGAAATAATGGAGAATTTTAGTGCAGCATTTCCCAAACTAGGATGTCTTCTGCTGCACACTCCTGGGCAAAAGGATCTCCCAAGCGTGCAGACTGTGGGCCCATCCTGCTCTGGGAGTGGTGCATTTCAGAGTACCACTGTACAGGCTCAAGGGGATCTTACAACAGAAAACCTATTTAATCCACACTGATTTGACATTCGAATCTTTTGTAATTTAAAATAATTTTAATTGTAGGAAAGCATAAAACATGCCATTTGGTGTTCTTTACATTCATCATGTTGCTCAGCCATCAAGACCCTCCCGTTTCCTCCAAAGGTTTTCCTAAAAGTTTTCCATGGTCCCAAACACAAACTTTGTATCCATTAAGTAAGAAGACCCCATTCATTCCTCCTCCTCAGGCTTTATAACCTCTCTTCTACTTTCTGGCTCTGTGAATTTACCTGTTCTAGACATTTCATGAAAGTGAAGTCATACAGTATTTGTCCTTTTGTGTCCACATCATGTTTTCAAAGTTCATCCATGTTGTGAGTGTGTAAGAACTTTGTTCCATTTTATCACTAAGTCGCACTCAATTGTGTGTGCTTCTGTAACCGTAGAGATACTGATAGTGAAAGGAGCTGTGCTTGAGTGTCAGCCTGAACCATGGATCCAGTGTTTCTAGCAGTACAAACTGAGACAAGGGACTCCACTTGTGAGCTTCCCTTATTTTAATTAAAATGGAAACAGTGTATTCATCAGCAGAGTGTAAGGATTAAGATAACTCATAAAATTCCATCAAAATGCTTGATCTATAATGTACACCCAGTGACTCTCTTATGTTGACAAAAAGAAAATTAAAATGAAGGTCATAACTAGTAGGAACCAGCAATGGCCTTTTGGTTCTACCCCAGGGTCCCTGGCACTGTCCAGTACTGTAGTCACTATCTGTAGTACAGTGTGCCTCCTGAACATTTCAGAGGAGGCTACCGCAAATGAGGAATTAACCTTTCATTTTAGTTAACTTGCACCTAAATAGTTCCACAGGGCTAAATAGCTACCGAATTGGACAGTGCAGGTCTAGACCCTGAGAGCAGTGGGTCTCAACCTTGGTTTCACAATGGGATCACCTGGGGAACTTTAAACTATACCACTGCCTAGACTCCCTCCCAGAGCAATTAAATGTTAATTTCTACAACTAGAGTGGGTATTTTTAAAAGCTACCCAGGTAATTCAGTTGTGAAGAAAATACTGAGAACCTCTGCAGTAGGGAGTTTAGTCCCATCCCCATTAGTAGCCACAGTTCAAGAAAAAAAAAAGTACTGCTCGGAATCCCTTAAATTGATATTTTATTGACTTCTTCCATTAATTTTCCTTATATTTACCTATAACTTCAAATGTTTCTCTTCTCTCAAAATCTATCACTATAAAATAGAAAATAGCTGATAACAGTATTATGTATGAAGTCATAACTGTGTATTAAAAGTATGACTGGGAGGCAAAGGCAGGAAGATTGAAAATTCAGCCCCAACTTGGGTGACTTAAAGAGATATTGTTTCAAAAGAAAAAAGTAAGAAGAGCTGGGTAACAGCCCTAGGTAGTCCCCAGCACTGAAGAAACAAAAACAAACAGTATAAAGAGACAAGAATACCGTCTTCATTGTAACAGAAGGAAGAGGGACAGGGATAAAGATCCAACTCTAGTAAATGTTGTATTAATTTTTTACTTGTACATTTTTACTGCCCTTTCTCGGAGACAAGGTCCCTGTAAATATTCGTTGCTTTTTAATTCTGCAAGTACAGAACTGAACTGTGGCATAACTTTTATGTTCGCATACAGTCGATTTCTCTGCTTTAGTCAAAACCTAAAACTTTGATAAGGAACTATTTAATCCTTTTCTCCTACATTTATTTCCATTTGTCTATCTTTTTTTTTTTTTTTAACATACTTTATCTAAAGAAGGGAAAATGGATTGGGAAATCTTTCATAAATCAAACATGTTTAGGAGTCCTCACCTTGAGAGGTGAATATAGGGGCCAGAAAGATGGCTCAGTAGAATAAGTGCTTCCCTGGCAAGTGCAAGGGCCTGATTTCAATTCCTGGTT